TCGAAAAATACGATCCTCGCGATGGACGCGGAAAATACTGTTCGAAACAGAGTCGCCACTGAACTTTATTCATTCCAAGGATGGAATAGGAAAATATCGATAAAACCTTTAAGGAGATAAGAACATGGTCATCGCAACCAATATTCTAGGTTCGGGAGTCGGTTACACAGAGGGAAGGTATTAGCACCCTCTACATCCGTTGTACTCAACGGGAACCTCTTGATCGATTCGAGAGTAAAGTTATCTACGCTTGTTTGTTTTCTTCTAATGATTCTCCTAGAGGGAAATGGGTGGTTTTCAGATAGGGTGCTCGCCAAGGATTGGGGCCTTTGTGCCTACGTATCTTCACTTGTAAGAAGTGGAAAATCAGAGCACTCGTAGTTCGGGGGACTACGGATAAAAGGGGGGAATTGTGCTCGCCAAGATCGTCGCAATCTTGTGCCTACGTATCTTACATTCAAAAGAGAATGAAGAATCAGAGCAGCCGTAGTTCGGCTAACTACGATAAAAGGGTTTGGATTTGAACGAGTGTTTAGGTCGCATTCTAACTGCTAAACGTTGGCTTGTCTGCTCGCTAGGGGAGGCTGAAGCACTAGTTTGTTATGCGCGGAAGAAGGGACTAAACAATGTTCTTGACAAAAGGTGTTTTGGTTGGAAATCGCACAAGGGCGAGGAATCTGTGTTTATCGTATTGGATGTTTTGGTTAGAGGATATATTTGAATAGGTTTGTGGTTTCGATTGCACGGGGGAGAGAAAGAGGAGTTTGGTTAGGTAATTTGATGGAGAATGACGATTATTCGATAAACGAGACGTCAGCCTCGTAATCAATTAATCGGGATATTATTGGAATGCTAGATTCCAACAACACCTTTTTCATTCAACTAACTTCGAAATTAGTGTTTGAGAAAGTTTCAATCGCACGGGGGCGAGAGAAGAGAGTTGGGTTGAATATTTTAAGGGAGAGTGACGACTACTCGATAAACGAGACGTCAGTCACGCAATCGATTAATCGGGATATCATTGGAATGCTAGATCCCAATGATACCTTTTTCATTCAATTAATTAGGAAAGTGTATTTGAATGGACAATGGTGGTATTTGTCAAAGTAGTTAGGGCATTATTTTATATACGAAAAGGTCGAGTAATCCACAACCTAAAGCGTACGCCCCAAGAGTGGTCACTCAAGAATTCGAGGAGTGCGAGACTCCAAGAACTCGGTTCTTTTATAATTTAATTAAGAAAATAATTTGAATTTGGCGTATGGTTTAAAAACATATTAGGGTTTAGACTTGACCCTATCAAGGTGAGGAACGAGATTAGACGGGTTGTAAATTTGGGAGGAATGACAACTATTCGATAAGCGAGACGTCAGCCTCGTAACTGATTAGTCGGGATATCGTTGAAATGCTAGATCCCAACGACATCTTTTTCATTCCATTAATTATGAAATATGTTTGTTGGACCACGAATACTTGTCCAAATAATTAAAGGAGGTATTTTAGAAACGAAAATTCGAACGACACACCATTCAAGGCGTACGCCTCAATAGTAGTCACTCTCGAATTCGAGGAGTGCGCGACTCCAAGAACTCGATTATTTCGTGATTTAATTATGAAAACAATTTGAAAATATTAGCGTACTCGGACTAGGCGCGCTAGGTATTCTAGAAATAAGATCGGAAAGGTCACAACTCAAGGTGTGCACCTCGAGAACGGTCGCTTAAAAATTCAAGGAAGGCGAGATCCAAGAATTCAATTATTTTGAAATTTGTTTAAGAAAAATAGCCTAATTTAATTAAGAAAACTAATTTAAATTTTCATATATAAAATTAATTAATCGATTGCTTATAAAAAGATTTTGAGAAAAAAGCTAATTATAATTAATTGTTTTGAAAAAAGTTTAATATCCTAAAAAAGATTTTAACTTAATTAATATAATTTTCTAATATTCAAAATATTATTTGATAATAATTTTGAAATATACATCTTTTAAAAGAATAATAATTGAAACTTATTATAAAAATATCTAGTTAATAAAATTGATTTAAAAATATATTTTAAAAATTTTAATTGAGTGAAAAAACGATTTTGGAAACCGAAAGACGGAACAATCACAACTCAAGGGCGTGCGCCTCGAGGGCGGTTGTCCAAGGACCCAAGGGATGCTAGACCCCAAGAGCCCACTAATTTCGTAGATTAATTAAGAAAAGTATTTATTTAGCTATTTACTGATTAATTAGAACTTCAATTAATCCATCTAGAAGTTTAAATTGATTAATTAAGGTAATAAAAGAAATATCCAAATTAATTGGTAAAATAAGGTAAAAAAAAAATAAATTTGCATCCACCTAACTAAGTTAATTATATTTAGTTAATAAAATTAAGTAAATAAAATTAAGTAAATGAACTTAAAAAGAAAGAAATTATAACTAGAAACATCTGTATGATACACTTTTGACTCTACCGTTCCAATCATGCATTCGGTAATTGAAAATCCAACAGCTTTAACAGTAGAATAAAAATGTAGCAGATAGTTTGAAGTTAGAAATAACATAACATGCTTCAACTCAAATTAAAAACAATATAACAAATTGATAATCAAACCGGCACCGCCGCATACCAAACATCCTAAAACAAACTGTATTAAACTTTCCCACAAAATTTCATGATATTCAAACCACAACCGATTTTGAACGTCGGTCATCAACATAGCTGAACCGCAACAAAAAAGAAAGCTAACAAATGACTTTTCATGTCATTCAAACGGAAGTAGCACCCATATATTTACACAGTTCACTCACGAAAACAGCATAGCAGTAACACAAGCCAGTGGTGAAATTGCAGCAACAATCAAGGCCCCATATACACAGGCAAGATAATACCGAAACAATAGGTACCGAAACTCAAACAGGATGGAATTCACAACTAGTCATAAGTTTAACATAGCAACCATTCCAAGTGAAGTAATTGATTCAAAATCGTAACAACAGCAGCTTGCAACGTTTACACATTTAAAACAGAACTGAACAACAATTGAAAACACTAATAGTAACACGTTGCATTCAAACATAATAAATTTCACCCATGTCGATCTACGAATCGCAATAGATTCAAATCATTCCTGCACAACTGATTTTCTCAAACCTGAATGTTGACTATGAAGCAACAGTAGCAGCTTATACATCTAGTTCAAGAAACAATATAAATCCAATTATTACCAATGCTGTTGAAATTATTTGTCAAAGAAATAACACTCGGCAAGCAAAGCGAAAAACAAATCATCACAATGTTTATGAATTCAAAACGGGATCCGACTTTCTTTGAACAATAGCGCGGTGAAGTTGATACAATATTCAAACCAAAACTTACGCTAAACCATGATTTATAAACAAACATGAACATGAAGCTAGTGGTGTTACACACATATACATTCCGTAAACCATAATTAGTTCGAAATGGATTCAAAAAACAAAACTCACGATATTGGAACAAGGTATAACAAGTGTATCCAAGCCCACATGTCAGGATTAATCACAGAGATAGTAGCAAGCTAATGTGAATCAGAATACGTAAGACAATCGGTACGCAATATCATCCATATTAAAACATGATAGCACTTTTAAGCAACCAATATGACCAAACAACATCCTCACAGCAGCAACAGGATAACATAAGCAAGCATAATACAAATGAATAGACCAAACAAAACACCATAATTATGTCTTTTCATGGAAATGACATCGAAACCTATTCAAAAATGCGCGATGACAGTGAACATGATATAATCAACTTAAGCATATGCTATCATCGCCAAACACTCGGTAAATCTATCAACTAGCGGCATAATTATGCATCAATCAATATAATTATATTCACTTATTAACTAAGGTCATCTACACAATAGGCAGGGTGATGTCTAAAGAAGGTAACACAAATACAATACATTTTCAACCTAATGGTGTACCATCCTAAAAACAACATCAAGAAACATGATGTAGCAGCATATCAGCTCCTTATGGAAACAAGAAAAATATAGCAACTCCTTCCAAGTTTGTATCAAGACAGTAGAACAAAAACCTCAATATTAAGTTCAAACCAAAACCGAAGTAACAAATACACAGCGGAACCGATCATGAACACACTCATAAATCAATTTCACAGCGAAACACATCGACCCAATATGTCCAGTTTCAACAAAATTTCCACATTTGAGCACAACAACAGCTAGATATAATTTACTAACCAAGAACTAATATTGTTAATTCAAAACAAAAGCTTGAATATTAACGATGTCACGTCGGATATTCGACAAAATTTTTAGAATAAAAACAACCATAAAATGCTTTATAAACAATGATAAATACATCAAATCTCCAGTAGCAACCAAGCCTAATTGAATGCTTATGTATATTCGAACCAAAGAACAAGGACTCAAAGATTTACCGACGCCGTATAACCAGAGTGAAAGCTGCTACGAGATTGTTGAAGACGAGGCTGTTGCCGATTGTGTTGGGGCAGAGAACCTAGCATTTTGTACCTCTTTAAGAACCTCAGATGGAAAGCCAGAAGTCGCAAATGATGTAACAGGTGGAGGCACATTATCTCCAGTAACAGTGATCTCGTGACTACGTCCATAAGCCTCTGGAGTTAATGAAGGTCCTGCATCTGATGCTACGTGACCTTTAATAGAACTAACATTTCCAGTAACATTTGTTCCATTTGCAGCATTATTATGAGAACTAAAAGTGCCACCTTTGGAACTCTGATGGCTCCAAGATCCACTTTCATCTGACCCTCCATTTCCATTCCTATCATACCTATCACTGAAGTCAGGACTGCGACCACGCCCTTGAGACGATTGTTGAACCTGGACAAAAGAGCTAGGCACTACAGAAGGCTTGGGTGGGGCAGCTGAGCTCAAAGGCCTCTCATATTCACATATGGTATCATGCCGAGGAGGGATGAATGGGATGCCACAATGAAGATTGATGCAAATTTCTTCAAGCAGTCAATTTCTGAGACGAACTAAAAGCATTAATATGCTGGAGATGTAGTGCAGCCAGAAGCCCCTTCCAGGTTTCTCCCGCTCCACCTGCGACTTCAAAATTAAGAAGTTTTTTCTGCTTCCGGTAGTAATCTTCCAACATCTTGGACTCTTCTGCACGCTTGTGGATATGTTCATCCTGTGATTGCTTGGTTGGAGACCAAGAACTGGTTGTAAAAATATACTCTTGGCCCGGAGTAAATTTATGAAGTCCTAGTTTCTTTTTCATTATATCCTCTTGCGGACATTTGAAATTCACCACTAGATCAACATGAGCAATGTGATTGAGAATATCCGCTTGAATTCTTGTTCTAGGAATTCCATCAAGAATGAACCCAGTTTCACCTCTATATTATCCATCTTCCAATCTCTTTGATAACAGAGCAAAAATGATCTCCTCAGGTACAAGTTTTCCATGATCCAAGGCATTTGCAATCTGCTGATAGAGAGAAGAACGAGGGTTGAATTCTTGATGAAGAAGCGATGCCATGGAAATGTGCGGAACTTCTAGAAGCTTCGAGAGTCTTTCCGCGAACATGTGTCTCTTAGCTCCAGGTTCACCGATCATAACCCACTGAGCTCCACGCTCCAGTGCTGAGCCTTCTGTGTCAAGCATGCCATGTGGCGCGGTATATTCGAACTCTTCTTTGTCGTCGTAGTTGTTATCGCAAGCTAAATACCATTGAGCTGAAAATCAGTTACTGATGCGTTGAGGCGATGCCGGTAACCTCGGTTCTTGTTTCACGTTGTCGTGTCTGAAGGTGTGAGTGAAAAAGACGCTCGAAGCAGTATCGTCGTCCGCTAGCTTCAAACAGAGCCATCGCAACTCATTGCGTTATTACTGGTTGTCGCGAGCTGATGGTTCAAATCAAGGTCGTCATGGCATCACTGAGCTTAGCGGAAATCATTTGTCTTGAATGATGTTGCCGGTAGTGAAAGTGAGTGAAGGTTCGGTTGAAAGGTGTTTCCGGTGGATGAGAATGCAAGAATAACGGTGGGTTTTTTGAGAAAGTGAGGTTCACAGTGGAGAAGACGAAGGGGAAGGGTTGGGAGTGAATTGGGGGGCAGCCGTTTAGGGTTTCTTGTTGGAGGATGAACAGTTCCTCCTCTCTTTTAATCTGAAAAAAAATCTCCTCTTTTAAACGTGCCAAACTTAACCCTAACGGGCCTCCAAGCATGGGCCCAATCTGGCTATCTCAGTCCCTTTTTTTTAATCTCTTTTCAATATCCTAATCAATCTTAATGACAAATATTAAATAAACAAAACCAATTCAATAATAACCATATAACTGTTACTAACTATAAACTAAAACAAAAATAATATTATTTATTTATTATTAAGTTACCAATAATTTTCTTAGATCTAAATATTAATAATATTAACAATATAACAAAACTGATATTTACAAAACTTTAAAATGAACAAAATTAATATTATGAACCTATATATATTTAAAACATAAACTAAAATATCGCTAAAATAAAAAAAATTTTTAAAGAAAAGAAGAAAATACGAAAACACAAATAGAATAATAAAAAACTCAAGGACAACTCTAAGCCACGTGTTACACTTTTATTGGGCAAAAAAAAGTGAAACAGTTGATCTTTGCTGAAAAATACGCTACGCTGTATAAACGAGGTAAATTAAAAACAAAGTCGGGCAAATGAGAATTTTGAAAAAAGTAGGACAAATTTGGGGTATGATACCAGTGAACCATAAAAAGAAGAGGTTCGGGCAAAAATTAGGGAAAAAAAGGAAAAATGTAAACCCGCGAAGTTGAAAACCTAGAAGGGCAACTTCGGAAAAAATGGGTATCCCGGTGGATTGAAAACCCGAAAGGGCGGTCCAGGCAAAAGTTAGGGATTTGAAAGCAAACGACTACGGTCTGCGTTTGATCTATGAACTTGCAAGTGGTTATCACGAAGGAAAGGAATCAGTCCAGCCAGTCTTATCAGAAGGCGAAACAGGGGAATATCGGAGAGATACATGTCATAGCTGAATCAACACATGGTGGTTGTCTGTTACCACATTGCCGACATGTGTATATTTTCTTGCTTTTGCGCAATTACCTCTTTTCAAGAATTGCATCTAAATTGTAATTCGCCTATTTACAGGTCTTTCATCAATAAAGTGTTCACTTCAGTCAAAGAGTTTTCTTGTTTATCTTTACTGTTTTGTTTGCAAAAACGTCTGTTATTTTGGTAAGCATTGCAGGTGAAAACAAGAGGCTTTACAAAGCATGACGAAAGCGTTGACTTTGCTTGAGCAGCAAGTATCATGAGTGGTAACTTAGGTAACCATTTTGTGTATAGAACATTTCAATTATTTTAATTGGTGCAGGACAGTAGGTTAATCCCCAGCAGGGTGGGTTTGTTCTCAGCAAAGTAAGGTGTATGGATATTTTTCTCGGTGGCCGGATAGTTTGCAACCCAGTATTCTTCGTTAGAGGAAGCAACATCTATGATGCCCTTTTCCTAGCAGAGTTGATGTGGTATCGGGATTCGAGATCTTCTTCCTCTAACAGAATTTAGTGCTGATTCCTTCGACATGGCAGATGTTTAGGCAGAGTTGGATCTATTCCCCAGCTGGGCAGTTTTCTACTTACCCCCAAGCAGAGTATATTCCCACGGAAGTGTGGAGTTTTCCCTAGTAGAGTGGAGTTCCTGGTGGGAGTATCTGATATTCCTCAACAGGTTGTTATTTGCGGTAATCCCAAGCAGAGTTGGATTCTTTCCCAAGCAGGGCGAAGTCTCAAGGAGCGCCATTCAGGGCCCATTTCCCTAGTCAAGTCTTTTGATCGTCAGAAGGTTATATTCTGGTATGCCATTCAGGGCGCGCTTTCTCAGCAGAATGTGATTTGAGCCTCGGCCAAGTGGGTTTGTGCAGTGCTATGCGTGGAAGTTTTGTTCCAAGGAGCCATCCAGGGCTTGATTTCCCCAGTGTGAGTCCGATCATACTTGCCGTGGTCTCTCTCTGGCAGGGTTGTTTCTTTCCCCAGCGGAGTTGACTTTGTAACACCCCACTTTACCCCGTACACGTAATATAATAAATATATAGAAACAATTCATGAAATTCATCAGAGTTCTCCAACACAGTGGGATATCACACTAAGTCACTTCATTTCATTAAAATAATCAATATTATTTAGTTTTCAAGTAAGCAGCGGAATACAAATCAATTCTCCAATATAATTCTCCTCGACACGAGGTCATACAACATAAGTCCAATAAATGAAGATACGTAACAATAAACAAATAAAGTAGTCAAATAACAACGTAATCCCGTCATCCCATGTTACGTATCTTCATTTATTGGACTTATGTTGTATGACCTCGTGTCAAGGAGAATTATGTTGGAGAATTGATTTGTATTCCGCTGCTTACTTGAAAACTAAATAATATTGATTATTTTAATGAAATGAAGTGACTTAGTGTGATATCCCACTGTATTAGAGAACTCTGATGAATTTCATGAATTGTTTCTATATATTTATTATATTACGCGTACGGGGTAAAGTGGGGTGTTACAATTGGTATCAGAGCAGGTCGGTCCGTCCGGCCAGTGTTGTAGTAGAGTCTGACTATAGAATGTTTATAGTCATGTGTGTGTTTCTAACCTGTGTTTCCGTGGTTGTTGAGAAGTATGGCTGGTAGGAATGATGCTGCGATGGCTGCTGCGTTAAAAGTTGTTGCGCAGGCAGTGGCGGACATTGGTCAGAACGTCAACCGAAATGCTGACGACGGAGAGTTCCGTAATTTGGGAAAGTTTCAGAGTAATAAGCCGTCTACTTTGACTAGAGGGATGGTGATTGACACTCCATCTATTGGGTCAGTCACTACATCTCTAGTGTGTTTGGATTGTCCAGTGTCGATCTTTGGTAAGAATTTTGGAGTGAACTTGATTTTTTTACCACTCCACAAGTTGGATGTTATTTTATGAATTGGCTTGAGAGTAAGATGCGAGAGTCGTATCCGGAACCGTTCTCGTCAGATACATTTTCGAGGACGAAAATATTTTAAGTGGGGAAGAGTTATAACACCCCATTTAAATTATTCAGTCGCTTTGGTATTTTCTGTGAGGTGTAGTAGTGTGGTGTCCTTAATTAAGGGTATGAGGTTAGGAGTAAGGGAGAGAGGTGACCTTAGCTGGAGTACTGTGGACCTAGATAAAGGAGTAAGTTAATTATGATATCGAGAGCATTATAGTGATTAATATTATTCCAACTATTATTAATAATAATGTTAATGAGATTATCATTATTGTTGTTATTATTATTATTATTATTATTATTATTATTATTATTATTATTATTATTATTATTATTATTATTATTATTATTATTATTCGTATTAATAATATTATTTGGTGGAATATTATTATTATTCATATTATTACTATTAGTATGAATATTATTATTAGTGGGAGAATATTATTATTATTATTATTATTATTATTATTATTATTATTATTATAGGATTTAAATAATAAAATAAGAAATAAGGGATTAAAGGAAATAGAGAGGTTTTTTTGGGAAAAGAGAATTAGAACACGATAAACTGCCAGAGAAAGGTTTTGGGAGAAAAAGTGAGAAGAAGAACAAGGAGGAAGAGAAGGAGGCTTGGGCTGTCAATCCTTCAAGATTCTTCAACGATTGAGCAATTAATCGAGGTAAGGAGGGAGAATGGATTTCAATATGGGTGAATTAACATGAGAGGGTAGTGGGAGGTCCTTTCTCTCATAGGAATTATGTGTTCTTGATGATTCTTGATCTAATTTTCGTAGCATGATAAATTCCATAAAATTGTTGCTGTTCTTGAATGATTATTGTATGGGGAGTATTGCTTTTCATAGTTTTCTATGTATATCTTTTGGTATGTTGTGGTGATGTAAGGTTTAGGGATTTGGGTAAATATGTAGAAATGAATGTGTTATATTGTTATTAGTACGATGCTCTAAGGTTTCCCTAAGGTTTAGAGATTTGGGTTAATTGTGGGAAATAGGGAGGTAATCGTAAGAATCTGAGGTTATGGCCAAATGGCCAAATGATATGTATCGTTGAATATTAATATAGGAAAAACTTATGAAAAATCGAACCTTTGTGGCCAAAACCTTAGATCGTTATATGTCTACCCATATGGGATAGAATATTTGATATTTGAAATTACGATGCCTTCGGAGCAATTGTAAGGAAATTGATGGTAGACCCTAGAGGTTAGTGGTTAGTATTCTTGACCCTTTGAGTGTAGAGTTGAGAAATAATGATCTTTGCCTTCGTGGCCAAAACCTTTGGGTAACTCTGAAGTACTCAGAGCAATTGCAGGAGATAGTGTTTTATGTGTTGCAAATGTTGTCAGATGAGCATAATAAACCATAGAAGTTGTGTCGTTATTGCCGTATAACCTTAGGAATGTTTTAGTGATGTTTTGGGTGCTTTGAGTAAGTGATTCGCAAGAATAATTGGGTGAATATCAGTTCCGGAGCGTAACAGCGTCTTTCTGTCCGTCACGACTGTTCATGTTTTCGGTCGAAACTGTTTTGGACGTAACTTTGGATCCGTAAGTCCGTTTTGACCCTCGTTCGAAGCGTTAGAAAGCTAATGAACAGAGATATAACAT